GAACCCACCAGCTTCTCCACAGGAGAAACATGTGACAGTCTGCATATTAGGCACCCAGTAGTGCAGTTCTCTCCTCTTTAGGGTTGAAGAGAGTTAGAATTGACTTGATAGCATTTATTTAGGTGGAAGTATTGATCATGATAGAGGCAATCAGTATTACCTCAGCCTATCCTTAAACAGAATTATAGGGAGCTCTGGTGGCCTAATGTCAAGAGGCCGCACTGTAATCCTGAAGGCGCATGGTTGGAATCCACCAGATGCTCTGCTCAAGAAGGATGGGCAGTCTCCTCCTGTGCCAGTCAGATCTGACTTGACGATACACAACAAAACAAAACAGAATTGTAAATATTTATTCCTGAGGCAAGTTTCAGTATGCCCCTGAGGATTAAGGGGTCACCTGCATGGGAAGACTTTTCAGCAGAGTGGGTGCTACAGGAGGGGGTGCAGATCTCCTAGCCTATCAGTAAGGGGATGATGAGGCCACATAGGAGAAAAGTGTGAGGATGTGAGTGACCAGATTGATGTAAGTCCATGCTCAGGACTCTTGCATCTTCTTTGACCTGCCTTCTTGGCTCCTAATGTTGTACTGGTAGGGTCTGCATCTGTGCTCCCTTTTCTATAAACCCTTTTGGCTGTTGTATTCAGTTAAGTCTGAACTGACTCATGGCTGACCTTCTAGTGAATTTTCAGAGGCTGTGAATCATATCGGAGGAGAGCGTATGGCATCTCTTTCTCCAGAAGAGCAGCTAGTGGATTCAAACTCCCTCCCTTTGGGGTTTCAGCACAGCTCCTTACACACTACGCCACTAGAGCTCTCTAGATAAAGCCTTGTTGTTGTTATGTGCTGTTGAATCACCAGTGACTCATAGCGACCCTATGCACAACAGCTCTGAAGCCTACCCTGTCCTGAGCCAGTCTCGGTGATTCCAACACACCTACTCTCATTGCCCTAATTACTGTATCAACCCTTCTCATCAGAGGTCTTCCTCTCCTCACTCTCCTTCCACCCTTTTGAGCATGATGTCCTTTTCTAAAGACCAGTCCCTCCTGGCCATGTTCTCAAAGTATGTGAGATGGAGCTTCCAAATCCTAACCTCCAAGGAGAAACTTGGTTTCACACTCTCCAAAACAGACCTGTTGGTTTTCTTGGTGGTCTATGGTATGTTCAAGACTCTCCTCAAGCACCACAACTCAAAGGCATCAATTCTTCTTTCATCCTTTTTCATTGTCCAGATCTCTGATGCATAGCTAGTTATTGTTAAGACTGTGGGCTGGATCAGGTGCACCTTAGTCTCTAGACTGAAATTATTGCTTCTCTGTATTCTGGAAAAGTCCCTTACAGCACATTTTCCCAGTTTAATTCATCTTTTGATTTTGTGACTGCTAGTACCAAGAATGTTGATTGTGGAACCAAGCAAGCTGTAATTGTTAATAACCTCAATTTCTTCTTCATCTGTCATGGTGTTACCAACTGGCTCAGTGGTGAGAATTTTTATGTTCTTGATATTGAGCTTTAGTCCATATTGAAGACTACAGTCATTGACCTTCTACAGCAAGTGCTTTAAGGTCCTCCTCCGTTTCAGCAAGCAAAGTTGTACCATCTGCATAACATAGGTTGTTGATGAGTCTTCCTCCAATCCTGATGCCACATTGCTCCTCATAAAGCCCAGCCTCCTGAATGATCTATTTTTTATGTAGATTGAAAAGTATGGAGACAGGATACATCCCAGACACACTCCTTTTCTGATTTTGAACCGTGCAATGTTTCCTTGCTCTGTTCTGAGGACTGATTCCTAGTCCAAGTATACATTTTGCATAAGCACAATCAAGTGTTCTGGGATTTCCATTCTTCTCAAGGTTATCCACATTTTGTTGTGATCCACACAAAAATGCCTTTGCATAGTCAATGAAGCATAGTTAGATAGATATTCCTCTTGTACTCTTTCCTTTTCGCCAACATCCATCTGACATTGGCAATAATGTCTCTAAATCCAGCTTGTATTTCTGATAGTTCTCTGTCAGTGTGCTGTTCCAGTCATTTTTGGATAATCTTCAGCAGGATTTATCTAGCTAATATTCTGAGATTTAAAGAGATAGGATTTGGTAAGATATACTCATGTTCATTGTTGGTATGCACTGTTGAGTTGCTTATAGTTGACCCTCCAGTGTGCTGTCAGGCAATAAATAGCACAAGAGGAGATTTCCCATCTTTCTCCCACAGAACAATTGGTAGATTCTTACTGTGTGTCTTCACTTTGGCAATGCAGTTCCTTTATCACTAGGCTACCAGAGCTCCTTGGTGGCTTAGTGATTTCATTCTTTTAGAATATCTAAACCACTTTTTCTTTGTTGCTTTTTTACACCTCCCTCCACCCACTCCAGGCACACACATATGCAAGTGCATGCAGACCTTGCCCCCCCCCCAACTACAGTGTCAGAGAAGCTGATACTCAAGGTAGGATATAATAAAAGTAAAGGGCTAGAAAACATATTTTTGCAG